ATCATTGGAGTGATAAGAACCCTTACACAGAATGTAGGAATAATACAAATATTTATCAAGTTATACTATGCATACAAAAATGATTAAAAATCTAATTACTGGTCAATGTGAATGGATATCAGTATTTTCAAGACACTGGATGCTCATAGACAAAGGACATTCCATAGGCACAGAAGGCAGATCGGTGGTTTCTGGGGAGCAAAAGGCAGAGAGGGAGGAAATTTGAGGAATGGTGTATTTGCTTATTGATTGTGATGATCTCTCCATATATATACATATATATGTACACACACATGTACACACATACATATATACACACAGGGTCAGGCAAAAGGAATGCCTGCTTGAGTGTGGTTGGCAAGTGATAATAGGGGTGTAATAATTTATAGTTTTAATTTGAACATTTCACCTAAAATGTCACATGGTGTGCTTGCGTGTGATATGGTTATGTTACAGAATCACATGCTTATGATTTCGTAATAAAAGGGGCATTATTTGTGCCATACCATCTATCTATAAAATTGGTGAAAACTTATCAAATTGTATACTTTAAATATATGCAGTTGACAATTATACTTCAATAAAGCTATTTTTTGAAAAGGGGACACAAGCCACAAAGTGCACTCCAGCAGGGTCGTGCTAATTTGCGCTCTGCCAACGGCATGTGTGAGCGCCTGCCTCATCACAACTCTGTTGGCACTGCGATTCTTAAAGAAAAAAAAACCCTGCTAATTTGAAAGGCAAAATCATCTCATGTTTGAGTGTGCGTGTCTTTGATTACTAGTAGACTGAAATTTTTTTCATGTTGATCAGCTCTTTGCTCATTTATCTTTTGCAATGTTTCTTATCAATAATAGGAGCTCTTTATTTAGACATGTCATAAGTATATCTCTTATTTCTCCCTTGACAGTTACCTTTGTGTGTACTTGATGTAATTATCATACACATTGACACTTTCAACAAGTTCAAGAATTGGAAAAATTCAACACTGCTCTAAATGTGTGTAAACAAAAAAAGCTTATTTAAGTAAAAGATAGAATTACACCCCAAAAATGTAATTCTTCTACAATCACCTAATTTCTTTCACAAAGTGGATGACTCAGTGTAAAACTACATCAGAAGCAAGCCATATACATGATCAATTAATATCTTTCGTATTCACTCTTTTGGTTGGTTAACATAGTAAAACTAAAAGGTTTCATCCTTTTGAAAATGGAGATAGTACTAAGATATACAATATTTGGTAATTTCAACAAGAGCAGTCAGAACTTGGATTTATAAACTCCCACTTTTTGCTTACTTATTGCCTCGTGTGAGAAATGAATGCATAAAATCAAACTGGGTTTGTGTGGTTTGGGATTTTTTTTTAGTCAATTGAATAAATACCAGAAAAGGAATATATTTCCCTGTTCTCCTGAAGTGAGGAGTCAATCTTTATTTATGTTAGTAATCCCGAGAAGACATGTATTATTATTTAAACTGTGTTCTTGACTCTGCCCTTCCAGTCTCCGGGGACTCTCTTAGACCGGGAGCAATGAAGAGCACTAATCCCAGTGACACCGGGACAAGAGCAATGCTTTGGCTGGCAGGAATGCCCATTGGCACAAATTCAGGAAAACTACTTCCACGAAAGGTAGTTACAAGTATTCATAAACTGGTCCAGTCCTTAAAGTATGAGTCATAATTAGCCATTAGAAGAAACAGATGCAGGCTTAAAATTTAAAGAATGAATCTTAGTTTCTTTCTCCACAGAATATTTTCAACTCTTGTTCTGAAGTGGGTAAGGGTTAAATCACTTGGCCAAACTAGGTGATGTCCAGCCTGGAACCAGAATGCAGATTTCCTGAGACACAAGCCAAAGGGCAGTAGAGGGGGAAATGGAGCGGCCATGAGCGAGGTGGCTGAGGTTCCGGGAAACTAAAAGTCTTTGAATTTTAACTTCTGCATCGACAGACTGAGGGGGTGCACGGCATGACTGCTTTTTCCTTTCAGCACTAACCTTTGCCAAACTCAGGCTGGATATGCAGCTAAGACCTCTGACAGGCGCAGTCACGTTGCTGGAGGGTTTTTAGTGGGGACCCTCGACTACTTTTCTCCCTCATAAGCCCACGTCAGCTCAGGGTCACATGTTAGCCCTGCCCAACTATCTGTGTAGCAATGGCAAAGAACTTACCCACATATTAGAGATAAGGGAATGAGGGACCTAAGAGAATCAGAAGAGCAGCTCCATCTAAATGAGAATTCATTAAGATCATGAAAAGAGAGAATACATGTGACTACTTAGCAGTGCCTGGCACAGAGCAAGCTATCCAGTAATTGCATGTCTGCACGTTTGGGGTATTTTAGTCCATCCAGGCTGATATTAACAGAATACCACAAGATTGGGTGGTTTATAAACAACAGATTTACTTCTATAGCTATGGGAGTTAGAAAGTTCAAGGTCAAGGTTCTAGCAGATTTGGTGTCTGGTGAGGGCCCCCTTCCTGAGTCACAGGTGGTCACCTACTCACTCTGTCCTCACATGGCAGAAGAGGGAACTCCCTGAGTTCTTCTAATCCAATGCATGAGGGCTCCACCGTGTGAGCTAACCTTCTCCCAAAGCTCTCCCTCCAAATACCATCACACTGGGGGTTAGGTTTCAACATATGAACTCTGGGGGAGTGTAAATACCCCATCTTTTGCACGGGGATAAAATAATACTGACTTCATGGTGCCCGGGTTTCACAGGTGAAACTCGCTGCATCCCCAGTGAGCCAGACACAAGTCAGACAGTTGTACAGCAAACTCGGACATGTATTTCCCCGAGTGAGTGAACAAACATAACTGAAAATGAGTCCTCAAATCTGACACACAACACAGTCCAGCTATATATATATTTTAAAGATTTGTATTTATTTTTAGAGAGAGAGGAAAGGCGGGAGAAATGTGTGTGGTTGCCTCTCACATGCCCCCTATTGGGGACCTGGCCTGCAACCCAGGCAGGTGTCTGACTGGGAATCGAACCGGGAACCATTCAGTTTGCAGGCTGGCACTCAGTCCACTGAGCCACACCAGCCAGGGCCACATAGATCATTTAGAATAGGGGGCCCCTGCCCCTGGGCCACAACCTGTACAGGTCCATGGTCTGTTAGGAAATGCCTCTTGATGCCCTCAACCCCACCCAAGTTTCGCCTCCTGAACCACATCCCCCCATACCCCACGCCGTGGAAACCAGTCCCTGGTGCCAAAAAGGTTGGGGACCCGTGGTTTAAAAGACTTTACGAAGTAGCAGGAAGGGGAAAGAGGAAGAAAGAGAAAGGAATGACCTCAATAACGGCAGGAGTTCTGGGGCTAGCAGCCCACAGCCTATGAGTTTCAATAAACTCGGACTCTTTGCCATCTTGTTACCTCACCTGTGTTTCTCCTAGTGTGGCCCACAAACCACCTCCGCCTGGAACCTGACAAATGCAGATGCCCGATCCTCACCCACTTCTAACCTGCTACCTCACTGATTCTTACAGTCTGCAATCTGAGAACCTGGTCAACTGCTATGTGGCCACTGCTTGAAACGTGGTCAGTGTCCTCGAACAGCCCAGATGATAACATCTGCCAGTGATAACATTTCTTCCACTCTTAAAATTAATTTTAATAGGGAAATAACACTTTTTGTTATGGTGAGCAGTCAAGTAAACCCCATTTACAGTTGAACTGTAGTCTTTATTAAAATTATTTTACAAACTTACATCTGTTTCCTAATATAAAAACGTTGTTTGTTACTTTAACATGTGCTTTGAAAATTAACATCAGCAGTAGAAGGGGCTTCAGTTGAATAGATTTCAGACTTCAAAGATGTTACTGCGTCCTTCATCTCTAGTTTTTCCATCTCCCAGTTGTTGACCTTGCCAAAGAAAGAGGGAAATAATCAGTTCACAAGAAAATGATGACACATAAAATAAAATCTAGTTTCTAAATCCAAACATATTAAAGTAACATCAAGCTGACTGCTTTTTAAAAGCAAATGTTATAATTACACACATCTTAAAGGCTTCGTTAGACTGTACTAGGGTAGAAGAAGGCTCTAATGCTGAAAATTATAAAAACTTGAAAGGTCCTCTAAAGAATACAAAAATTCCTTTCTTGGGGTAATTATCCCTAGAATATATATTAACAGTCAATATGAAAAAAAGGTGTTAAATGGCCGCCCAATAAGAGAAAGGGGCAGTCTTAACCCCAGAATGCACGGTGATCCCTTTCTGAACACTCAGGTACCACGATGAGGATCAGAGTGTTTATGCTTCACACTGTGTACAGGACCGAGTGGCCTGTGGACAGATCCCAACATTAACATGAACATAAATTTCCTCGAGAAGTTCTGGCTCCGTGCATCTGGAGGGGCTGTACAAGAAAAGCGAACAGGGAGGACTCACGGACACAGACAGCAGTGTGGGGGCTGCTCGGGGGAGAGGGGAGGTAAGGAGACTAAATGGTAATGGTAAAAAAATACAATAAAGATTAAATCAAGGAAAAAAAGGAAGAGAAAAGCCGCGGTGCTCGGAATCAAAATGAAGCACACGGGGACGAGGAAGACCCATCCTCTTGTGCCTGCCCAGCTTTTTCCGGGGCTGAACACCCTAGAGCAGCCTCACACTGGCCCGCAAAAACAAAACTTTAACAAAAAGTACTAAAGTGACCAAGGCTAGCATTTATAACCCCCTTAGGAAACGACAGTAATCGTTTAAGTAGAAGCCCAATCATGTACCAGGACACGATAACTGAAACACGTATTTCGACACTACCGACAATTCCTCTGAGATCCTGGTAATCAACTTCAACTTCAACTCCTAGCAGAACACACGTCAACGTGTCACTGAAGGATCTGCCATTTGCACTTTTTTCTTACCAAGATCACATGAAAGCCCATTGCTTTCAAATGGCGCATTTTCATAGCAAGGAACCCTCTGGGGTGGGTTAAATCCAAACAGTAAGTAGATCTAGGAACACAGAGTACAGCTAACCTGAAAATAAAAACACACAGCATGCCAACAGTTACTAATGGGATCACCATTCACGGTCCTGCCTACTGCTGTTCCTCGGAGACTTCCGGGTTTCGCTCTGCACTGACCGCCGCCCTCGCCGTTCCCCACTGTCTTAGTCCTTTCCTTCCTTGTCACTGGGCTTCTGGAGACACTCCACCAGTACATGAGCACTGCTTCAGGAATCAAAAGCTTGTAAAAATGCTTCACACACCTATCCCTCAATCATCTTTTAGGGTGTCTATGGTCCTGATAAGGAAAAATTTCAAATATGAAAGCATCCATTTTAAGGTTTTGCTAATCTCTGAGTAAATATAATTATTTACACCACTAGTAGAAATACTGGTGTAGATAATACCAAATGGTAAATGCTCTTCTTGTACAGACTGTCTCCCAGAGAGACAGCACGTAAAGACGGAACAGGCAGACCGAATACACAAATGAAAACACTAAAAGACAAGCCTGAGAGAGATACAATCTGCACGTGTAACAGAAATGTGGGATATGTAATGTGATGTTGTCACTGTTCTTGGCCTTTGGGGAAAAGACATTTGCATCCCCACTGCCTCTGTTACACTCTGGCTGTTATCTGAGATAACAGATAAGAGGAAAAAAATTATATTTTTAAAGGGATGCTCAGATTCCTCACTTCTCAGTACCTCAGGCTGCAAGCTACTATGTTACGTTATTCTGCCAAACCAGAGCAGGCCCTGAAAGAGAAAAATGACCCTTCAGCGGCAAAGCCTTCGTGGGAGGGGAGACGGCACCACGCCCGCCCGGGAAGAGGGCGGGTGAGTGAGTCGGGACGCCCGGCCGGGGGCAGAAAGGAGCGCTCGAGAGCTGCCTGGGAGCGCAGGGGGGCGGGCAGAGGAGGGTGGGAATCCTCCCAGATTTTCTCTGTACCTCTCTCTGCCGTGTGCAGGAGCATGTCCTACAAAGCCATACGGGACATGAGTGCGCTGGGGTCGGGGCCCACGTCTGACTCACGTTTGTTGACCCACACGTGTCCCACAGGGCCCAGCGGAACCTTTCCACGAAGGCTGCTGACCACCGGCCAGGCCCAACACGAGCGCATGCACCTGCTTCACAGGACTCTCCCATTGCCCCAGAGACGCCCGATTTGCAGTGTGTGGGTCAAGGAGACAACAGAGGACTGACTTCGACACGGCTCGACCCGTATACAACACAGCCTGATGAAAAGGCCCAAGTTCCTCTATCTTCACAAAAGTCTTCGTGGCAGAGAAAATATTTACTGGGCACCTGATTTTTGCAGATGCCTGAATTCTTTATAATCACCATTGCATTCTTGTCAAAAGTTTGCACTGATAGTTTCAATTGTGTGAACACTTGTTTTGAACTGTTTAGCTTTGAAACTTAATTCATAAAATTTGCCTATTTCATTAAGTGGCCCATCTCCAGACCAGTCTTCAGCCACCGTGCCCACACTTAACACCTAAGGAGCAGATCAGTGGTGAGAGGTCTCTTGGTGTGTTACAAGCTCCACAGAAACACAAAGTCTTAGCATTGTTACGGCTATTTAACAGGAAGTCTTTGAGAATTAAGATTTAAAATAGGAAAGCTCAGCAAATGAACAGATGTACGCGACCTTTGAATATCTGTAGAAGTTACCACATTCACATCAGAAAGTGGAAGCACTTGACTCCTGTTGGAATCCATTATGATCTCAAAATCTGAAAGAAAACAACTGATATTAATTTTTCAAACATTACTCAAAGTGATTTTCTATTTCAAAAAACCCTCCTACTACCAATAACGATGACGGCAGCAGCTAAAGCAGAGTGAGCTGACCAAGTGCCAGACCCCGGCCTGGATTCTACATGTGCAATCCCACTGACTGGTCACAGGAACCCCGGGGGGTGGGTACTGCTGTTAGTGCCATTTTACACTCCAGGAAAGGGAGGCTGGAAGTGGCTGAAGCCACAGCACGGGCAGTGTGAGAACCCAAGCCCAGCAGTCCACCTCCAGAGCCCACCTGCACCACACTGAAATGCCACGGACAACGCCTCATCTTTGTCAGAAAGAGAAGAAAACAAACAAAATAAAACGGCTGGAAATCGTATCAAGTCCCATACCGATGTAATAGTTATGCGGCAACTGTACATTTTCTGAGAAGTACCCCCTTCCCAGGAGGCTACTCAGCACCTCGGCAACCTTTGCATTTGGGTGCAACGGTGTGGACGGCGACGATGGCAGTGCTAAGTCTGCGGCCTTCTGGTAAGGAACGTCATCAAGCTTTAGACAGGCGGCCAAAATGTGAAGCTTGTGAATGTTCCTCTCCTTGTTATCTACAAGAGAGAAACGTGTACTTAAGAAAAAGCAGTGATGCCACGATTAGGAAATGGTACAAGTGCACCTGCGTTCCCGTGCCCTGAGTACCAGGAGGGACCACTCTGCATCCCCTAGCTCCTGCAGTGTCCAGATCAACGCTCTGTGTTTGATCGTGGTTTAAGGTCTAACATATCTTTCCAGGTGACTCAGTCTAAACCCTTCCCTGAGGAGATGAAGAAATGCCCAGAAGGTTAAGACAGCTCACGGTCAACTAAAGGCGAAGTCCCCACCAGAATCCAGGTCTCCTGTGTTCCACAGTGTGCACCCCCCAACTGGATAATCTGAAAAATCTAAATGTGGTGCTCCTTCTTCTAAATTCAACTTCGTAATTTCAAACACTGTCTTTGAAAGAACTTAAACTAGTGTATTCTCAGACACACTGAATTTTGTACTTACAGCCTGTTAATGCTTTTCCTTGTTCAAAATCAACAATTTGGTTCCTACAGTAAATAATTCACTACTTAAGTAACTGGCTGGTTAACTGATCTAACAGACTGTGCCTTTAGTACAGGCCGTAAAAAACAACATATTTATAATTGAGAGAGTTGCCTTAATTTGGCTTCAGAGGTGGCACCCGAGGGTGAGGAAGTACAAACACCTCAGCTCAAGGCATAAGGTGTAAAGGAAAGGAACGATGATGATGTGTTTCTTGCTGCTGCTTCTGCACGACCTCGGACTTCGCCGCCACTGCTGCTTCCCCCAGCAGACTCTGTTCTGCACATTCTAACACTGCGCCAACTCAGCCCCATTCAGAGTCACACAGGAGCCAGGGGACTGCTCATTTCAGGCACCGTCGGGCACTCACACCCCACCTGACATCAGCAGCTCGTCGACAAGGTCCTGTTGGAGAAGCTGATGAATAGGAGCCAAGGGAAAATGGTTCATCAAGCAAAATGAACACACAGCACTCAACAGGTTTTCCGAGGAGATGTGGTGGAGACAGCCAGTCAGAGCGCTGGCTGTGACGTTGAGGAACCTTCAGGGCAACAAAGAGAAGTCAGCTTTCAAGTGAAAAGGGGAGACATGGTCATGGTAGAGCTGGTGAGGTGCCACAGCACCAATGGCTTTGAGTCCAAAAAAAAAAAAAGATTCAAAACCAGGCTTGAAATAACTATTCACACATTTTTTAGGTCAGGTGGCTGTATCATAATATATGTGTCTCAATAAAAGTTAGCTATCATTGTCTTGCACAGGGTAAATGTTTTACCCATTCAATTCCTATTAAAACTCTACAGGGTATGTATTATTACCCTCATAATAAAGATGAGAATGCAGGCTCAGAGAGGTTGAGTAACTTCTCTGAGAAAACACAGCCAGGAAGTAGCAAGGACAGCACTGCGACCCAGGCTGTCAGGCTCCAGAGCCTCCAACCATCGGGCTAGACTTTTATCATGAGCGCACCCACAAGGCCTGGACCACCACTGTGGTTTTATAACCAGTTCATATCTTCCAGCTGTCAATATTCCGATCTTCAAAACACCCTGTCTAATCCTATCACCTAGTGCAACAAAGCCATTACGTACAAAGAGAGGAAGGAGCAAAATTAGGGAAGGTCACTCGTCCGGGGTGACACTGCTCCACTGCTCATAAACGGCACCGATACCCCTGGAAACCAGGCCTGCCTGGCTCTCAAGGCATAAGCCGCACGTCCTCGTGGAAGACAAGCCTGAGCACATGCAAAGTGCTGTGGTCGTGCAAGGACAGGAAGTAAACAGCTAGCTTTGGGGTAAGGAGGATTTCAGTAAGTGGCAAAGACCAGGAAAGGGAAATCATGTGAAAGTAAGCAAAGAACCTGAGAGCTGAGAGCGCACACTTTTGTCCTGTGGGGATTAAACAGCTAGGCTGAAGCGCAGACAGGTGACTCGACAGCAGGGCCCAGTGGGCCCTGAAGGCAGCCCTTACTAACAATGAGGCAGTAAATGATGGTGTCTGAGATCAACTGGGAGGTCTGTGGGTGGGAGCAATGGGTGAGCGGGCTGGGGCAGAGGCAGGCTAAGTAGGACTTGGGGGCGGGGGTTAACAATGTGACTGCTCTGGAGATACCAAAGGGGCAACACCTACTAACAGGACGATTGAATTTGCAACAAGAAAGGCTGCAGGTGGCTAAGTCTGGAGCCCCCGTGGTGACCACCTCTTCCAGCCCCTCTCACTCTGCTCCCGATGCCTCAGCAACACCAAACCACGTGTTGTTCTCTGCACGTGGTCTGCTGTCTCTTTCCTCCCTGACTCGAACATGGAGTCCTTCTACTGAGAAGTTCTTTTCTGCTTATCTTCTAGGATCTGCTCAGGTACCTTCTCCTCCAGGCAGCACTACTGGGCATCCACCTGGACCCCGCACTTTACCACGCTAGCTTCTGGGCACTTCCCTCCTCCGTGTCCCTATGTCTGGAACAAAACCCTAGAACTCCAACTACCTGTCTGCACTACCAATTACACAGGATCCTCGGGCAAGAAGGTATGTCTTATTCGTCTTTGCACCTGAGCGCTCGGCACACGCTGTCTGACTAAATGAACAAATAAACTTAGATGAGGACAGGAGGAGAATGAGTCAAAAATGATGATCTAGAAACTCACCAACTTGTACACATTAAATAAGTACATTTTTTTACACATTAATAATACTTCAATAAAGTGATAAAAAAAATCACTTTGCATGGTGGTTGGTAAATAGTAAATAACTGACCAAAAAAAGGAGCTGACTTGCAGGGTCACTGACCATGAGACACCTGTGGGACCCAGAGACCACTGCAGTCCACAGGGTGCCAGGTCCAGGAGCACACGAACCACCGGAGATAAGCCCCGATCAAGAGAAACCAAAGGACTGAAATAACAGAGTTAAAATGTTAAAGGCTTTCTCCCTTAGGTTTGAAACCTGGAAGATACTCTGGATTTAACATGCCTTCCTTCCCCAAATCCATCATATATCTAAATGATTCATGCACAACATGTGGACATACAATGTGTTCCACCAAATTTTCTACCAACTTCCTAGCTAATGCATTTGGCTAGTCAACTCACTCCCTGATGCTCTGAACCACCCTGCTTTTAAAACCTTTGCCATTCCAGCCTGAGGTCCCTCCTCCCTCCTCCTCAAAGCATCGGCTACCTGCCACTTCCCGCCCTCCTCAAGATGTGCAACACTTGCCTCCTTAACTGGACAAGGACGGAGAGGGGACACAAACTTCCTTTCTTCAAACAGTCTCCAGAATACCAAATTCAAGCAACTGCATGTTCATGGGCATTCAGAAAATTCTGACTGATCAGTCTTGACCTGAGTGGTAAGTATAGGGCTACCAAAAGGGGAAGAGGAAGAGAAACAAGTAGAAAACTTATTTGAACAAATAATAAAGGAGAACTTTCCCAATCTGGAAAAGGAAATAGACTTCCCGGAAATCCAGGAAGCTCAGAGAGTCCCAAAGAAGTTGGACCCAAGGAGAAACACACAAAGGCACATCATCATTACATTAGCCAAGATTAAAATGAAGGAGAGAATCCTAGAAGCAGCAAGAGATAAGGGGACAGTCACCTACAAAGGAGTTCCTATCAGACTGTCAGCTGATTTCTCAAAAGAGACCTTACAGGCAAGAAGGGGCTGAAAAGAAGTATTCAAAGTCATGAAAGGCAAGGATCTGCATCCAAGATTGCTCTATCCAGCAAAGCTTTCACTTAGAATGGAAGGGCAGATAAAGTGCTTCTCAGATAAGGTCGAATTCAAGGAGTTTATCATCACCAACCCCTTATTGTATGAAATGTTAAAGGGAATTATCTAAGAAAAAGAAGATAAAAAACATGAATAGTAAAAAGACAGCAAACTCACAGTTATTAACAACCACACCTAAAACAAAAACAAAGCAAAAAACTAGAACAGGAACAGAACCACAGAAATGGAGATCACATGGAGGGTTAGCAACAGGGGAGTGAGAGGAGAGAGGGGGGAAAGGTACAGAGAATAAGTAGCATAGATGGTAGGTAGAAAATAGACAGGGGGAGGCCAAGAGTAGTGTGGGAAATGTAGAAGCTAAAGAACTTGCGACACATGGACATGAACTACAGAGGGGGAATATGGGTGGGAGGGGGTGTACAGGGTGGAGGGGAAAGGAGGGAAGGAATGGGACAACTGTAATAGCATAATTAATAAAATATATTAAAAAATAAAGAATAAAGGGTAAATTGCTGCTCAGGTTGACAGTATTAGTCAAGAAAGTATTGGAAGAACATGGAAGGCAGCCCCATAAGAACCAAGCTAGGGAGCAGAGGCAGGTCAACTTTGGGGACTCTGGTCCATCTTTATTACTGTACATGCCTATCCTGTGCCAGATTCCATGCTAAGTCCAGAAGTAACAGAACCTGGGTCTGCCGCAATAGAGTTTTCCAACCGAGGAGCAGAGGCAGACTTGCTGACGAAGGATTACAGCCGAAGTCAAGGCTTCGCTGGGGACTTGGATATGACAAGCCCAGGGGCTCTGACGAGACAGTTGGGGGGCACAAGAAACGCAGTATGAACGGAGTGTTTCTCTCCCATGGAGAGAGATGGCCTGCTGCAAAGGGACAGGCATGTGACCCAAACTCAGTCAGATTTCCTCTTTGAGAAACCTGAATCTTGAGGGAAAGCCATGGGGACAGAAAATAGTTGAAGTCAAGTCACATGAGGGCAAAGAGAAGGCGGCGGTGGGGCTCCTGCCACGGAGGCTCTCAGAACTGCCACTGTTGGGCCCATCTGGCCTCTGCGGCCTGTACTTTTCTTTTTTTTAACATCTAACAATTACCGCATGCCAGGAATTGTTTGAAGAACCTGACGCAGGTTAACTCACTTAATCCTCACAACAACCCAACGTGATTTAGAAAGAAGTCTTTATTTCTTATCCCCATCAAACAGATGAAGAAACCGAGACAGAGATAAGTAACTTGCCAAAAATGAAGTAGCTCAGGAATGGCAGAGCTAAGCAAGATGCCTCCACTCTTCTAACAAATGACACTGCACACGCATTTCTCGTTTCTAACAAACCCTAACTGACCTAGAGAGGGAGGGACGAGGTACTGGGCAGTATGTTTGGGGAACTGCTGCATTTAATAGCAGAAATGCATGGCTAGGGGTAAACATGAAAACAGAAAGCAACAGTTTGGCACCAAATGAATCGTTAGGTTCAAAACTGAACTGTGAACTCAGGAGCTGAGGGAATAAGCTGGGAAAGTTTGAAATGATGACTCCCATTCATTATATCATAAATGTATCAGAAAGAACAAAGGAATAAGCAAGAGAGAGAAGAAAAATAACACTCTGTGTAACTTCATAAATAAAAATACTGTTTTCATCCATGACATGGGCAATGGCCATGGATGTATTTACCTGTAATAACTCACTGACCTTGTGATGATTTGTAATCTTTTCTACAAACACGTTATGGGGCAATAAAGAAGTGAAAAAAGAGCAGTACGTACTCTTGGGTCTGGGACCTGTGGAGGTGATTCAGAGAAGAATACACATGAAGAATAGAGACAAGGCTCTTCACGTTCAGAAAGCCGGGTTTATCCACTACTTTCTTCATAAATAAGTCCATCAAACCAGCATGCCGAAAGGCAAGGTTTTCAAATAAAATGAGGAGAAAGAGAACCTTAAAAAAATGAATTGAGGAAGAACTTTGTAATAATTACAGTATGCTAGTAGGAATTTATTTAGATCTCAAAAAATTTAAACAGCAATAGAATTGGCCTAAGAGAATATTCCCTAAAAAAGGAACAATTATCTTTTTTTTTTTTCTCACAAAATCTGTTTCAGTCATTTTTGAGTCAGGTATTAAGTTAATAAGCAACCTCTTTTTATAAGCAGAAAGCCAGAGGATACAGTGGCTTCTGTGTTTCCATTTCATTAAAAATAGAACCTATCCTACAGGCTTTTCATTTAATACACCCGAAGACTACTCTACATGTACCTTCTCTGAAGTTTGTTAAAGTGACCAACTCAGTAGTGAACTGCTCCTCCTTCCAAACCTAGACACTTCCTGGAGTCTAGCATCTAAGTGGTAACTGCAAACTTTCTATATTCAATATGAATTTCTGTAAATGAGAACAGAGATCAAATAATATGATTAAATTGAAATTTTCAGTTTACTTCTCATTTCCCTCTTGGTCCTTCTCATGATTAGTACTACTCTTTCCAAAATCATTGTCTATGGCAAACTCAGTACGTTTCTTACCCTCCAAAGTAAACTAAACCTACTGACCTAACGGTTACCATGGCTTCACCGCAAGAGGAAGTTTTTACCACTGCTTCATTCATGTTCATATTACTAACACGGCACCTGAATTTAAAGGCCCTTCCTCTAGAGGAAATAAGCAAACACCCCATAAATAGAAAACGGACATGATCGTGGAGTAATGGCCTTTTATGCTTCAAAAAGCGAAGTCTGTCACATCACCCAGATTTATTATTCTACATCTAGCAACAAAATAAGGAGAAAGACAGAACTAATTCTAATTATGCAAAGTACAATACAACCTTTTAAATAACAAATAGAAGAGCAAACACTGAACAATATAATTTTTATTTCAGACAGAAATAGTCAAAAGGTTGATTGGCACATTAACGAGTAACGCCCCAAAATGATAAGGAGCTAATTTTTCAAAAGTCAACTTGGCATTGGAACATTCTGGCATCTAATGCTAAATAAATAAATACGCTTTTTGAATTCGTTTCTGAGGCTTATTCTAACCTATTAACATACTTACATGTTTCAACTTGCAGATGTCAAAAGTTGCAGCCACATAATCTGCTATCCCATTGAAAAGGTCCAAATTATGGTATCGGAGGTCTCTGCAAGACTGCACTATGTTGATCAACATTTTAATAGGACACCCATGGATATTACCTTTACGAATGAGTTAAATAAACAAACAAAAATACCAGACAGTTTGTAACGGAAGATCCAAGATACTCAATACTCGATACTTGTGTTTCATTTTTTTAAATAGCACAATAATGTGTAGAAAAGAAGAAAATTACAGGCAAAAATAAAATTTAGATAGAGTCAGATATTTACATACATCAGAAAATTTATATACATCAGATATTTTTCATATGTAATAGCAAAGTTCCTAAAACAAGAAAAACAAATCTAGTCCAGAGCAGTAGGTGAGATGCAAAAACTCACGAGAGGAAGTCCCCTTACCTATGACCGTCTTGCTGCACTCATTCAGAAGGGCAACAGAACGGTGATCCATCGAGGCCAGCGCCTCGAACATGTGCTGGCTATTCAACACAGAAAAGTTGTCTAATTCCCTCACAGCTTTCATCTGAAGAAAAACAAGATTAAATTTATCATTTGTGGTAAAATAACTTAAACATTTATATTTAAATAAAAAAGATAAAAGTTCAAGCAAAATGACTCAAATAGGTATTCAGATTAAATATATATTTATATACCCAGATAAATATAAATCTACTTCTATTATTTCACTTTAACAAAGTTATACAAAAGCGTAACAATGTCCTCCTAAAAACTGACAGTAGGAAGTAAAGGCAGATCACAAGAAATATTTTTTGCAAATCTCATCCACTAGAGAAAATTCAGGTCTTTACCTCCAGTTTCCTTTTAAGAGAAAATGGTGCATCTTTTCCAATACTTTTCATCACAGTTTGTAACGTGAAGACACGTTCTATTTTCCAAATTTGTTGATCAACTAGTATCCTGTAATCAAACACAGTAACTATCGCAGACCTAGAATCTTAAAACCAGAAGAGAAATAATCCCAAAAGTCGTTTGGCCCAGCTCCTACTTCTAGGCATGAAATATGAAGCCCATAGACATGATCTACCTGCTCAAGATAGTAAGTAGTTAGTGAAAGATCCATTAGCACTATTTTCCCTTCTGCTACTGTTATGAATGAACAAATCACATCAGATTATAGTAAGATATCCCAATGCACACTCAGTGAAAAAAGGAATTAAGTATTATTTTCACTGGCCTATGACATTACATCAGTTTTGTCAATTTTATAAATTACAAAACTCAAGCTCCTTTCTGAGCCAGGCCAGTGTCACGGACCCCCACACAGTGCCCACATAACCATTAAGAATCGAATGCGTGTCAACTCGCTCCCAGCTCATACCAGGACCATATCTTAAACTTAGGTATCAGTGTTACCCATACCTTTGTTCCTTATGGTGGACCTTAAAAGCAGCACTATTCCCACTTTTACCTGATCCAGAGTCAGAATTTTAATAAGGTTTTAAAGACTATAACTACCATCAAAGTTTCCCCCAAATTAAAAAAAAAAAAGCAGTTCACTTTCAGCTGGGTTTCATTTGAAAACTTAGAGAAACAGAGGTTGCCACATGAAGGAAGCATGAGAAAGTCCTCACCTCAATCCTGCTCGGAGAACATCCACATTCTTGCACGGCTCCATTGCCTCTAAAATAGTTGACAAAACTGAAAGACATTTCTCATCACACTCATTGATACGTTCCTATGGAAACACAATTACAAAAACACTACAGATGATGAACCCACAGTAGATTACTGTTCCCACGCAAAACCACTGAACCAACGCTTTCCATTAAGGGGTCAAATATGAAACAAACAATTCATACAGAGTCAGTCCTAAATAAACAGCATCTTTGGGAAATAAAATGTCAGAGTGAATTTTCCAAATAATTTATACATACTCTTCTACACATCAAAACTCTTAACATTCACCATTATCACTGAATATTCATTTGATATTGATTATATTCCTCTGCTTCTGAAATAACTTTCATCAAACATTACTTTTAGCTCTTCTTAGGACTCCAGATAATCATGAAGACAACAAGTGCTTAAAAATAAACTATTTAGTTATTATCATTGAGTTTAGAAGTCTGAGATGTTCACTCTCAAAAGGCAAAGGATCACTTTCATAAGTGATCCCTCGCTCATCATACCTGGTGTAGTTTCGGTGACATCAAACAGGACACTGACTCCCGTGCTCAAAGCAAAAAGTGGCTCCCCACCAATTTTACCCTCCTTCCGATCCACTCTCCACTCATAGTGATCTACAACATAAATTTGAGCACCCCAACCCTTTGCTTAAAATACTTCAATGGATCCTCACTGCCTATAGGATAAATCCAAACGCCTTAGCTAGACATGCAAGGGGGAATCAAAGAATTCCCCCTCTTTTCAGCCTCATGTCTTGTCACCTCCCCACACCCCTTTCTCCATGACCACCACATTCACAATTTCCTCCCCATCCCCTCCAACACACAACCCCAACATTCTGTGTTTTGGCCACACTGGCTACTTTCTGCTCCCCAAACTTGCCAAACTTTTGCTCTGGGATGAACATGCAATCTTCTCTGCTTGAGAAACCATCCCATTCACTCTCAACCTCTCACAAACTGGGATTCAGCTTAGACATCATCCCCTACTGGACTTGAATCCTAGTTCCACAATGAACTAGGTGTCTGTTCACTCATTCAGGATACATTTATCAAGTACTACAAAAAGTGACATTAACAAATATATGACCTTGGGCAAGTTTTTTAACCTCTATAAGCCTCTGTTTCCTTACTCATTGGTAAAATGAGAGTAACAGCACCTATTTTAAAAGGCTATACTGAGGATTACATGAGGCAATTCTGTTTTCAAACACATCTCTGCCTCAAACACTAGTCCTGTACCCTCCTCCCCCTCTCCCTGCCATCCTGAAGGTCTTCCCCTGACTAGACTGGAAGCCCATTATACACTCTTACAAGATTCCATATTTTTGTTTCATTGCACCGAAAGGTCTATGTGGCCAACTTTGTTCACAATCATAATCTCTGGTGCTCAGTACAATGCCTACAACATGCTTGATATGTGACTCAAATGAATGTTGGTTATTTTTGTAATTGCCTACAAAATATCCATATTCCCTCTAGAATGTAAGGGCAAGAATCTCTATCTTCCTACACTTAGAGGTAAGTACAGTAACTGACACATAGTTGACACCCCATAAGTGTTTACAGCATGAATGAATCCACCAGTTGTATGACGTTAGCAAATTTGCTTAACACCACCAAGTTCATTTCCCCACCTGCAAAACTTAGGTAACATCAACTTCGCAAAGCTGTTGAAAGGGTTCAATACAATTATATAAGTAAAAGGTGTAATAAATCAATAAATATTAGTTCCCTTCCTTTTTCTCCTTACATCAACCAACAACATTCCTTATATATTTTATATCTCTTCTCATTTTAGCTTGTTACTATTACTCAACTCTGGAGAAGAAAAATGAGACAAGCTTTCATAATTTCCATAGCAAAAGGAAAGACCTAGCTCACTGAAGGACTCTAAATCATATACATACAAACAAATATAAAGGAAACCACCATTCCCCCGATAGTCTCTACTGCCCCTCATTATTTCAACATATGCCCAAACTACATTTCTATTTCCCTCCCTTCTTTCAAGATATGCAAACTGAGTCTCCTTTTGAATTTACCTGGGCCACCCTCAGCAAAGTCTGCACCAACAGCGTGTTCTGGGGAACACCGAGCTTCACTATGGCATGAAGACTGAACAGCACATGGTCATAGTAGATGATCTTGGCTTCCCTCATCATTTGTTCACACAGCTGGGTAAATGCAGGGTGGTTAAACATCAGTTGTTTCTCAAAGCGTTTCTGGTCTTCGGACATCCTTTTGGCAATTGTCCACATTGCTGAGAAATAGTTACTACTAGGAAATGTTGGTGTTTCTGAAAACGTATCTAACACATCACTCAGGGAATTACACTCCTGAGACAGTTTTCTCCAGCTGACAGGGGTGGGTTTTGTTTCCTTGGTGCGAACAACTTCAACGGAGGCCTCATGATGAAAGTTTATTTTCTTCAGTCCATCGTCACAGACAGGAGAGTGTTTTGAGTCAAAGGATAGTCTTCTAGGACAAAGCAGCCCACTAACTCTAAGGGCTGTTATAGCACCTAAACTCTTTGTTTGAGAGTCATCTCCTGACTTAAAGAACAAGGCATTCTGAAAGAGATTTCTAACAGATGATTGCACTTGATCATCAAAGTGATTTAAGAGGTGTCTTGGGCTCCCGTTTGAATAAACAATTTTTGATCTGCAAAATTCCAAAGGATACAGCCTCACAACTCTGCTTGTTGGAGCTAAAGCACTGAATTGCCTGAGGTTCCATATAAAGGAACCTGCTCGGTTATTCATTTTGCTATCCACTGAAACCCGTCCCAATGGCTTTAAAGTTGGCAATATGACACAAACATCGCTCCCATCAGTGAATAACACATGCCGTTGTTGTTTTTTTTCCCTGTAGGAGAAGAGATTATGAAAGGAATGAAAAGTGAAGCAAAACTTTTACCTAAATAAATGAGATGCATTCAACAGACTAAATGGGACCTATGGAGACATGAAGGACTTACACGAAAATGGTAAAACTCTTCTACTATGGGCTTCCTCCATTTCTACCACAATGAGTACATTCTCTAAGGGACCGGGTTACTTGAGAAGTAGTCGTCGTATATACGAGCTTAGCTTTTCTTTCTTTCTTTTTTTAAATAAGAAGTGGATTTCTGGTTGCAAAGTATCCCCACAAAGCTTCCTCTGCACGGACGGATTTTATGTTACCACTGCCTTGGACATGTCTTCAAAGAAAGTTAAGGGTTTAACGGTGATGGATACTTTCTAACATGAGAAGATTTAGCACGACCGAAGCCGGGCAGTTAAGAAGAATATGAACAAAGTAGACCGACTCGGGAGGAAGCAGCAAACCAAACTGATGTTTGCTTGTGGCCTGCCTTGGTCAGACTGGCTGACACACCAACCAGTCTCACCAAGTTTCAGAAAGTGCCAGGAGTCCGTCCTTTCGTAACCAGGCCATCCACTACTAACCCGCCTCCCTAAAATTAATGTCTGGTTCATTCCTGAGACTGCCTCCAAAAAGCAATTAAGTCTTAAGTGGACCTCGGCCAAGGGCTCCGCCTATGAACGTCCCCCACTCACCTGAGAGATCTGGACCCCTAGGTTATATTCAGCACAGCTGAGACCGCGTCTCCGCGAGCTGCTCGTATCGCGAGATGTGAAGGATCCTTCGTAGGTCCAAAAGTGCTCATTCCCAGTGATCTGCGGATTCACTTAGTGATACGAAAGCCTACCGAAGGATAATACTAGTTTTCCTATATGCGGGGTTAGGACCGGGGGGGAGCACGCAGAACTTTTAAAGGCAACGTATGATCGTGTACCCCAACATTTAATTTTTTCCGCTGAGGCACCAGACCCCTCCCCCCCCCCCCCCCCCCGCCCCGCGCTCAGCTACAGAGTGCGCCTGCGCTTAGTCCAGGCGGTGCGGTTGCCAGGAAACCGCGAAGACGCGGTTCCTGCCCAGGGAATCACACAGCCTCTCCATGGCCAAATTCGTGCTTGCGGGTGAGTGATCGCTGCGTGAGCCGGCAGATCGCTCAAAAGAGCGAAAATTGCTTGCCTCCTCTGGCCGCTTGGCAATGATCTTCTTAACTGGTTTCTGTTGTAGCAACTTCAGCCTCTCCATGGACCACCTCAGACTTTCTCATGCATGCATTCAAAGATATTTATTGGGCGATGACCCTGTGTAAAGTACTACCGGACACTGGAGATGGAGTTGGGAAAGATGCGACCCTGCCTCAAGAGCTTTCAGTCTAATGGGGTACAGAAGCACGTGAACAAGTAATTTTAGTACAGTGTGATTAATGCAATGAGAGAGAGGTACACAGGACTTGGGGGTAGGGGCGTGACAGGAGTCCATTTGTCAAAGTTTAGAACAGGGAGTCCATGCCAGATAAAGACACAGAGGCTGCAAATTTCATGGCCTAATAAACGATATGGGTATGGAAGAAGTGAGTGGACCTGGGGCTAGATCGGGAGCTGGAGCAGGATCCCCAAGTGCACCAAGCAAAGGTGTTTGAACTGAATCATGAACGCGATAAGGAGCCATCGAAAAATTTTAAACAGGAGAATTTCCTTGTCAGCAATGGAGAGGAAGGATTGGAAATGACGACTGGCACCAAGAAAAGCACTGAAGAGGCTTTTACTACAGTTCTGTCATGCCTGCCTCCTTCCCTTCTCAGCAAGTTTCTTAAGAGAGTAGACTGCTCTTCTATCTCTAGGTTCTTCTTGCACTCAGTCTGGCTTCTACATCTGCCTCCTTTCCAAACTAATCCTCACGAAAGTCACCGATGACTTCAGAGAAGCTGTCCTGTCCTTGTCTTATTTGACCTCTTTGACAAAGTAACACAATTGGCACCTCTCTGAAAATCTTTTGTTTGCTTCTTTATTTATTCAGAGGAATATTTCTGAGCACCGACTGACTGTATGGTGGGCAGACAGTGGTAGATGTGCAGGGACTGTGGCATTGGGGCAGGGTTTGATAGCGGCTATGGTGGAGGGCCTTATTTCGTCAGGGGGCTTCCCAGAGGGAGATTTTTTAAGCAAAAACCTGAAAAAGATGAGAAAGAACTGCTTAGCAGAGAGGAGGTAAGAGGGAACAGAGTAATTTAGGCGAGAGTAGTCAGACGTGAGGTCGGAAGGAGGAAAGTGAGCTTGATGATGATAGAGTATACAAGCAGTAGGAAATTGAAATATTTTAGTAGGATTGGACCAAAGAGTACAAGGAACAGAGTATCATAGCCTGAGGTCAGAGTTAGGTAATGTAGATTCTTGTGAACCATGCTCATTATTTTAAACTTTACCCAAAGTACGTGGAAGGTTTTTGGAAGGGGAGACATAATCAAATTTGCATTTTATTTGAGTGTTATCTCTGCAGTGTGAGAAGAGAAAGACTGGATGCCTAGAGCCTGGGGAGGGGCTACAGTGCAGTGAGGGGATAATGGTGGCCTGACCTAGGCTGGTAGACAACAGAAATGGAAAGAAGGAAGTGTATTGAAACAATGTTCAGAAGGCAGAATCCATAGAACTAGTTGTCTAATTGGGTGGAGGAAGACAGGTGAGGGAAAAGAAAGAGTTCAAATTATTCCCAAGCAGTGGTTTGGATAACTGGGTAGATGAGAGCTTATTGCAAAAAGTAGAAGAGCAGACTTACTACTCTGGATACTCTTAATACTCTTAGATAACTGGGTAAATGAACATAAAGAATTTAAGAGAAAGAGCAGATTTAGTGGGGAAGTGGTGGCAAAATTTGTCATAGATAAGCTGAGTGTCTATGGGGCATTACAGGAGATGGAAAAAATACAGGAAGATACGGATGGGATAAGGAGATAGGTCGGAATTGGAAATAGATTGCTGCTTGAGATCAGGAGAGTGGAGGAGATTGGCCAGCAAAGGCTGGTAGGGTATGGAGATAAGATAAGAAGCCTTGCAGAATGCTTACCTTTTGATGGATTGATAAAGGAATAAGACCTACAAAGTACAGTGAGGAGTGGCCAGAAAAGTAGAAGGAAGTCCTGGAGAACGCCCAAGCCTAATGGGTGCTTCAAAAGTGTAGGAGGGGGACAAATTCTGCCATGGGTCAATAAGAAAAGGATCAAAAAGTATCCATTAGTCCTGGCTGGTGTGGCTCAAAGGATTGAGTGCCCGCCCGCTAACCGAAGGGCTGCCAGTTGGATTCCCAATCAGGGCACGTGCCCGGGTTGCAGGCCAGGTCAGGTCCCCCAGTAGGGGGCGTGTGAGAGGCAACCACACATTGATGTTTCCCTCTCCCTCCTTTACCCTTTTTCTAAAATAAATAAGCAAAAAAAATTTTTTTTAAGTATCCATTGGAGCTCTGGCTGGTGTGGCTCAGTTGGTTAGAGCGTCATCCCATAGACCAAAAGGTCATGGGTATGATCCCCGGTCAGGGCACATATCCCAGCTGCAGGTTTGATCCCTACCTGGGCACATACCAGAAGACAATCAGTCAATGTCTGTCTGTCTGTCTGTCTCTCTCTCTCTCAGCAATGAAAAAATAATCCATGGGTGAGGATTAAAAAAAAAAGAAGAGAAAGTACCCATTAGATTTAGTGAGAACAAAAATGGAAAGAAGGAAGTGGAGGTCCTTGGTGACCTTCTAGACAATTACGGGAAAAGCCAGATTGCTGCAGGGTGAGAAATACATGGGAGAACTGAGGATGGCAAGTTAGAGAACTCTTCCGACTTTTAAATAAAAAAAGAAACGTTTTAATAGAAAAGGTCACATGGAAAACAACAGAATAACTACAGAGGGCATGGGCTTTTTGTTTTTTTAGTAAAAAAGCAACTTAAATATAATGAGTATATTTAAATACAAAGGAAAATGGTCATTAGAAACAGAGATAAGATGCCAGAAAGAAGGTATAACCAACTGAGCAGAATCGGGGGAAACTCTGAAGGCAGAAGAGGGTAGTATTCAGAGCATAAGTGTTAAGACTGGACCTGGACCAAGGAGGCAGGACTCCTCTTCCATTGAACGGGAGGAAGAAGGAAAGGATGAGTCCAAATGCAGACAGGCTTGCACATGTGATGGCCGGGGGTTGTGGGATTTCCCAACTGATGCCTTTTTCTATGAATTGCCTTTATTTTTGTAAAGTAGAGGGCAAGGTTGTCTCTTGGAAAGAAGGAAGAGTTTTGAAGGAAGTGGACAAAGTCTGGAACAGCAATTGTGGAGAAGAGAGCATTGCTAAGGGAAGCCAATCTCTAGGCAGATTTGAGGGACGGTTGAGGTTGGTGACCATGAATTTAATGGTGCCTCTCTGCTCAGTTCTGCCACAGTCCTCCAGGGTGCCTAGCAGACCTCAGCACAGAAAAGGCAGGTGAAGGGCTGTTAATCAGGCTGGTTTGTCAGAGCAGAGTGGCACAAGATAATTTAAGTCATAAGCCAGAGAGTGGTTTGAATTCATGAACTATGAGTTTGAACTAGACAGGGAGGCTACTAGACAGGAGGAGATTGAGAGGGGTTGATGACTTAGAAGTCTCTGTGAGGTTGAAGGACTAGTGACTGGGGAAAAATGCTATCGAAAGACTTCTGCACTTGGCTCCTGCCTATTAGACACCCACTTCCATGCACATTGGTAGCTTTAGTTTCCTGTGTCTTGATGGCTGCAAAAATGTACATCTTAAGCTCTTATATGGGACTTGCACTTCACATGTATACATGCAGCTACATGCTGGTTACGTCCACTCAGATACACTACAGATACCTCCAACAGCATGTGTCTATAGTTAATCTCACCTGTGATTTCTCTCTACCAAGCCCCAGGTCATCCACACAAGCCAGAAAGTAGAAATTTTTCCAGACTCTTCTCTCTTCCTCAGCTTCTCCTTCCCCCAATACTCCCTGCCACATACATCAAATCCACATGTGATTCTACCACTCCTCACCTCACACTTTGCCTATTCATGGCTACCAATGAATAGTTCATTGTTGGCAGTTCATGCTTAATTAGTAGCGGGGAAAACTCTGAGAGGAAGTGAATGCTAACATAATACTGGAGGAGAGTGAATATTTAATAGTCTTTTTCCTTTCCACATTTTGTTACTTAAATTCTGACCTCCTTTTTTGTCAATACCATAAAAATCAAAAGTTTATGTGGTGGCAACTTATACTATAACTCTGTTATAAAATAGAACTCTACGATTAATTCTGTAATTACACAGCATATACTTATAATTACATGGTTATTTTTGTATGATAAAAGAAAGCATTCCTAATTTGAACTCTTCTAGGTAGAGCGGATTGCCCATTTTATGCTAAAGCAGAACTTCTAGCAGACTATTTACAGAAGAATCTTCCCGATTTTCAGATATATAAAATTACACAACATCCTCATGTTTGGGAGGTAAGAAGCCTTTATAATTTGTTAAGTTGTCTCTCTCACACACACAAATGTGTTCCAATTTGATTTATATTAGCTAGTATATCAGATAGGCTTCCAGTAACTAATGTGCACGTACTACTGATATTTTACTACTAAAAAATAAATCTTCACTTATCAGTCTCAATGCATTATTTTCCCCCTAACATCTAGTAGAACAAACAAGGCCCTAACCAATAAGTAGAATAAATTTGGCTATTCCCCCCCCCAAGAATCCAGGTAACTTATATTTGCAGTTTTAAACATTTCATCTATATTCATATTAGTTTCTAATGTGATGAGGTGCTTGTTATTTGAAATACCCTTCTTTGGGGCTGGGTTTCTCCGGAAACAGACTGACATGGAGATTTAGGTGAAGGAATTTCCTTTACTGGTGTGTGTGTGGGGTGCTCTTGGCAGCAACATCCTGGGAAGGAATAAGGGCAGCAGCAGCAGGCAATGGGGGGCATTGAATTGCCATCCACCTGCAACAGAGGGCTCAGCCTGCTATACGGGGGAATCTGAGTCTGGGTCGGCCCTTCAGCGATATCCCCCACAGGCGAGAGGGCTGGGCTTTTGTACTCCCCTAGTTAACAGTCAGTGGATGCTGGTTACCCAGGGAATGGATTTCACTTAAGGCGAGGGAGCTTCCTTGGGCCAAGATCATTTCCTGGAGGGAGACTCAGGGGAGGCATTGAGTGTCTTGGTCATGAAGGGGTAACCTGGGCTGCAAGGACAGGATCTGGTGCACTTCATCACAGTCAGGCCTGTGGGATCCATATGCTCTGTATAATAGGTTCTCATCATCCGCCGCAAAGAGCCCTTTGAAGATTCTGGTTGGCGACTCTCCCTAGGGAAACTTTATAAGGAAGTTAGTCAAATGAACTATAGTCTCCACTGCACATCTTCAGGGCCATAACCAGCACTCATCACCTTTCTTCTCTACCCTCCATTACAGATTCCCCTCACCCTCTGACGGTCGGGGTGCCTTATTAACTGTGGTGACCTACACCTGTGTTTTTAAAGGCCCCGAGCCTTAGTCTCCATTCCCTCTTTGGGATGGGACTGCTGCACGTGTCCATTTGCTCTCAGAGTTGAGCAAGATAGTGACAAAGATACCCCATAAATCATCTAGATAACAAATATTCTTTCCTGTCCGCATTGGGTAATAGCTGCCCTTTTTGCTCCTGGTCGTCAGGGCCAGTTATCTCTTTGGGGATGGTAACTCCCTTCTTGGCCTACTGGTCTCATTGGCGTAGGTGCTCAAAGTGACCAAGTGGCAGCCATAGCTCAAAGTTTAATGGGAGTCTCCTTGATAGAAGCATCCCCTACCTTGAGGTTTAGAGCTTGCAGACGCACAGAGTCTAGGGGAAGTGGGGTTTCGGAAGCACAAATTCCCCACGTGGGCGACTGGAAGTAATGGTAAGTAGGGTCACTCCTAATTTCACCCTTTGGTTCCTAGATTCACACATTCCACCTATTGGGGCAAAACACTGTATTTACTGCACACTGACAGATCGTGTCCCATCCTTGCGAGGCATCAGTCTCTAAGCCAGTGCCTGTCTCTTCAGTGGGCTGTTCCATCCATCTGTCAGGCGGCTGGGCGGTGTGATACATAATAGGGCTAGTGGACGCCTCGGTTATGTGGCCAGCAGCACACATCTTTTACACTGAAGTGAGCCCCTTAGTTCAAAGTGAAGTTATACAGGATCCCATTGGGCAAAGCCCTATAAGCAGGAAAGACAATTCTTTACCCAGAATATGGGTTGATCCAAATCCAGATGAATCACTGTCATGTTCAAGGTGGAAGGGGTCCAAATATAATCAACTTGCTACCAAATGGCTGGTTCACATCTCTGAGGGATAATGCCATTATGAGGGGGTCAGCCTTGGTCTCTGCTGCCACACATTGGACATTTAGTGGCAGCAAGACCTAAATCAGCTTTGGTGAGTGGCAGCTTGGTCTCTAGGGTCACTGCATAACCTCTCTGTCTTCATGAGCCCACTGTGCCTTCAGCTGTCTGTTATCTTCCCGCTGGTTTGTTTAGTGCTTCTTCCACAATAGACATGCTCTGGTGGGCACTGCCCCCTGGTCTCCTTTTCAAGAGTCTATCATCCCAATGGCCTGGAGTCCAGCTCTGTAAAAGCATGTCCTTTAACAGAGCCGCCCTGGCCTAGAATGAACAGCTACACAGGACTTCTCAGCAGTACTGAGACCCCTTTTGCCACGCATTCCTTATCACTTTGGTGAATGCAGTAACCCAAAGCCCTTCCAGAGTACGTGTTTATCTAAGTTTTTTGATCCCTTCTTCCATTGTCTTCCAAAGCAGTTCTGGTATTTCTATTTTATTTCACATGAGCCACCAACTTCTCCAAGCTTAGGAGAAGCAGGGTACACCCTCTTGAATTGAAGAGGAGTGATTCATATTGACACCTTCTCCGTTGTCCAACTCTCTTTTGATTCAGCACCCCAGCGGCCAGTCCTAGACATGCTCTTGTGGCTCTGCCAAAATATCAACATGCCCTTGATGCTGAAGGTCCTTTGAGGTCAAGTCCCTTTCTTCGATAGACAGCATTTCACTGGTCAGGCTGTGTTGTGAATAGAGAGATAATGGTGGAATCCTCACAGCAGCACTGTGTGCTTTAAGGTGGGATAGAGGCAGAGGGATTTCAACACCAGAAGGGAAATTAATTTCCAAGATTTTATTGGTAATGTAGCTTCATTACACATGCCTCCAAAGACAAGCATGCTATTGTTCACCCCTACGACGGTTGCTGTCTATCTCTACTCAGCTCTTGTCTTAGGAAGGTCTGATCTACACAAAGCAGACAATGATTTAAGATTTTTTGAATAAACATTATCAGAAATTCCCAGGTAACTTTTAGCTCATTAATTTAATCTGAATGATATAAACTATACTCAAAGATTTGGAAAGCAACATCAAATTTATATGGCCTTAAGACTGGAAATGTCTCATATAGACGAACAAAGGAGAAAACAGTTGAATTTTTTTTTTAAATCAGTTTAGTTGGGACACTTGGCTCCTCTTTAACATACACTCTCCAGGTCTTCTCAGCAAAGAGAGCAACTTTCTGTACTTTTATTTGGTCAGCAAATTTGAAGACTATTTTTTCTTATTTGATTAATTTGTCACTTAACTCATCACCATCTTCTACACTTACATTGTTACAGTTTAAGGTATTTAAAATTTACATACAAATAGTAAAAGTGAAAGCCAACCTAGTATTTTAGTATTTGAATTCTAAAATATTAAATATCGAGGCAGATTTACTGTGCGACTTCACTTGGAATATCATTTAATAGGAGTGGCTGAAAGATTTGTGTGAAAAGAATAAATGGAACCACAAAAATTCCCCCATCATCTGGAGAGAGCTGTTGGATCGTGGAGGAAAGGGTTTGCTTTTGGGAGGATACAATGAGTTTCTGGAGCATGCCCAGGTATATCAATTAAGTTGATTTAGCTGTTCGAAACGCTGTCATTCTCTCACATTATTTTCTTTTCCCAGTGTCTTGCTTTCTAAAGTATCCTCGCAGCTGTCCATTCTGGCTTTAAACAAGGCCTTTCCATTATAGCCATTGTCAGCTGATTGTCTTTTGTCTGCTGTTGACTTTTTCTTCTGCAATGTATAGCTTTACTACGGTGTCACCTCTAGTATGACGACTGAGATGATGAAAGTAGTTGCTGAAGAGAACCTGGAGGCACATATAAAAAATGAGCTGGAGAAAGAACCACAGAAAGACCTCACTGAACCCTTGCAGGTCTGGATCGCCAGGTGGGACAGTCAAACCCCAGGATGTGTGAGATAGGCTTGTTATATGTAGAAAGGAGGATGATGTGGGATTAATTTAATCTAAATTACATCCTTTCCCAAAATTGCCATTGCTTCATAGATAAGGGTTTGTCATACCAAAGAACTATGGTTCAAAGAAACTTGTTATTTCTTTATCTTTCTTTTTTTTTAATTTATTGAGTTATTTTTCAAGTACAATTTTCTTTTGTCAATTTCTCCCATCCCAACCCCCCCTCCGCCCCGTCTCCCCACCTCCCTCCCATCCCCCCCTCCCCACAGACCTCATCCCTGTGTCTTTCATACTTGTTCTTCAAAATCCCTACTCGTTTTTCCCCTTAAATTCCCTTCCCTCTCCCCTCTGGTCGCTGCCCACTTGTTCTCTATTTTAGTGTCTTTGTTTTTATTCTATTTGCTTGTTTATTTTGTTATTTAGCTTCCTGTTAAAGGTGAGATCATATGGTATTTGTCTTTCAACACCTGGCCTATTTCACTCAGCATAATGCTTTCCAGTTCCATCCATGTTGTTGCAAAAGGTAGTAGCTCCTTCTTTCTCTCTGTCTTTATCTTTCTTAGAGAAAATATAAGCATATAGTTAGAATAGTATGACTCAGTTCTCTGAAATTTTACTTTCTGCATATTCTATTTTAATATGAAAAGCCTTATGAACAGATACATTTCTTTTTTTGTATTTATTTAATTATTGTTCAAGTACAGTTTTCTGTCTTCTACTCCCATCCCAGCTCACCCTGCCAGTGCTCCCCACCTCCCTCCCATTTCCACCCCCTTAGTTTTCGTCCATGTGTCCTTTATACTTGTTCCTGTGCATCCTTCCCCTTTTCCCCTGAAATTCCCTCCCTTCTCCCCTCTGGTCACTGTCAGCCTGTTCTCTATTTCAGTGTCTTTGGTTATATTGTGCTTGCTTGTTTCTTTTGTTGTTTAGGTTCCTGTTAAAGGTGAGATCATATGGCATTTGTCTTTCACTGCCTGGCCTATTTCACTCAGCATAATGCTTTCCAGTTCCATCCATGTAAACAGATACATTTCTTATTTGGATGTTGTTTTCAGATGGTCAGGACAAGGGGTTGGTAGTGAGAATTTCATTGTTCTGCTTTTGAATTATAGCCTTCAAAATTGAGTGTTCTCATCAGAAAAGGGGTGTGTGTGTGAATATGTGAGGTAATGAACATGTTAATTAACCTGATGGGAAGAATCCCTTCACAATATATACATATACAAAATTATACACTTTAAATACCATACAATTTTATTTGTCAATTATACCTCTATAATGATAATTTTTTTAAAAAAAGAAGCAATAACATGTATAAAATATGGAGAAATGTTCATACAGCTGTGTACGCCTATTTAAAATTTTAAATCACCCTATTAACGCACCTGCAGAAATATCCATTATGGATAAAGGCTTAAAGGGACAAAAGATGTAACCATTCCTAATCAGGCTTTGCATTGTTCGCAGCGCCTCTGCCTCCGCCTGCTGCCACCTCATTCCCATCCTGACCAGCGGCGAAGTGTTCGGAATGCACACGCAAATTAGCCTAACTCTATTTGACAAAAAGCAGGCGGAAGAAACTCTCCAAATCCTTGCCACAGAGACGCGGCACCTGGTGTCACCCTTCCTGCAGAGCGTGGCCGTCTGCACAAGGGCAGAGGAGGCCTTCCGCCGGGCCCACGTGGTCATCATCCTGGACGACCCTGCGGACAAGGAGATACGCACGTTGGAGGAGTACATCCGCAGCAGGGTGCCGCTGTGCAGGCTCCTCGGGCACCTGATCGAGAAGAACGCTCACGAATCTGTCAGAGTGATCGTAGGAGGGAAAACCTTCGTCAACCTTAAAACGGTGTTGCTGATTAGATACGCCCCAAAGGTGGCGCACAATATCATCGCTGTGGCGCTGGGGGTGGAAGGGCAAGCGAAAGCAGCTCTGGCCCGAAAACTGAGAACAACGCCCTCCTGTGAGTGAGCTCCTGTTTCTGGGTCTGGTTCTAAACACCATGATTTCAAACCAGCTAGGAAGAACACTGTACCTTCTGGGGGCCATTCCGGAATCTGGATTAGAAGGCCCCAGGCAGATACAAAGCCCTCGCTGTATGATTTGACTACTCTGCCAGTATTTTTTAACTGGCTTTCATGACTACCTGGCTTTGTCCATCATTATAAAAATTAATAACCAAATATAATATAAGGTTTCTTTAGACTCTTCCAGTAGTAATTTGAAACCTAATATTCCATTTTCTCCCTGATAACAGTTAACTAAGGTAATCAGTGTTTTTTTAAAAATAATTGAGCCCTGGTTGGTGTAGCTCAGTGGATTGAGCAGGGGCCTGTGAACCAGACAATCAAGGTTCAATTCCCAGTCAGGGCACATGCCTGGGTTGCAGGCCACTTCAACCCAGCAGGGGATGCATGAGAGGCAACCATACATTGATATTTCTCTCCCTCTCTCCTTCCCTTCCCCTCTAAAGATAAATAAATAAAATCTTTAAAAAATAATTGAGATCAGTGTACCAGCTGCTATTGTTGTGAGGGGAAAAATAATGAAAAAATATTTGTAATGAAGCCCTGTGTTAAAGTGGCTGCACCCACTTCCTAATTGTGTGACTTTGGGCAATTACTTAACCTGGCTGTGCCTCAGTGTCCTCACTTGTAAGATGAGAATGTTAGTAGCACCTAGAATTGATGTGAGGATTTAATGCAATAATATTTCTAAAGTGTTTAGAAGAACACCTGGCATGTGGTCATCATATGCAAGGGTATTATACGTGCCCATTGGTTATGGTACCTGTTTAGTTTCTGCTCCTGTTAACCTTTGAACTAATAGACATCGGAATCATACGAGGATGAGACTGGAACAGAAAATGCATTGTCGTATTTAAAAGGAGGTTGCTATATTTAAAAAAAATATTTGTTGCCCTGGCTGGTGTAGCTCAGTGCATTGAGTGCAGGCCTGTGAACCAAAGGATTGCAGTTCTATTCCCAGTCAGGGCACATGCCTGGGTTGCAGGCCAGTTCCCAGCGGGGGACACAGGAGAAGCAACCACACATTGATATTTCTCTCCCTCTCTTCTCCCCTTACCCTCTAAAGATAAGTAAATAAAATCTTTTTAAAAAATAAAATAAAATAAAAATATTTGTCGTACTTGACAAATCTTAGCTATTTGTGGCCTTAGATGGAGCAGGCAGAGCAGAGTCCTTGGAGAATGCAAGGACGTACAGGCATTCCCTCCAGCAGTTGGGAAGATGCTGAGCTATGAGCCCAGAGTGCTCCGAGTGGGCTATAACGGACCTCAGTGAGTCCCTGGTACATTATAGCAAGAGCTGAATTATCCATTTCTTTACAGTGAAGCCCTGGAACCATAACTTGGTATTCTTGCATAAACACAGATCTCTAGTGTCTTATGCCCAGGGTCAGTGCTTACCTCAGCCAAATTGATTACAGAATCAGTCAGTAGGAGAGCAAAACATTTCCTAATCATTTTATCTTTGTTGCCAACCAACCTCACATGCATATGTGCAGACAGTGATTTATCACAAAAGATCTATGATCCACTGATGAAAATGTCAAGAAAAAGCAGTGACACAAAATATAAAATGACGTGAGGGGCTTTCAACCAGAAGGCTGCTCTCCTGTGGGTCTGCCGGTGCCATATTCTAAGCCCTGCTGTACTCTAAGACAAACATGTGAGGAGCAGAAAAGAGAAAAACAATCAAAAGTTGGGAAAAGGAAAGAGAGACATAAAAGGGACAGTAGTAAAAGTAGAATTGTCAGTGGAGCGGTGTGGCAAGGAGAAGGTCAGCAACGACAGAGACAGAGTTGATCGAAATGACGTGAAACACAAAAACCGTCAAGGAGAGTCACTCGGGGAAAAATCCAGATGCCAAGAGAGTAGCAGACCTTTCCAGGGTATCCCATGAGTTCACTTCACACATAATTTGGTCTCTCAGACTAGGTGCTTTTGCTTAATTGGGACTCTTTCTGTTGCAGGTGACAGGACATCCGCTCAAGTGACTAAAGTCAGACAGAGAACTATTTCACGTAACTAAAAAATGCAGGAGGTGGTTCTGATTTCAGGCACAGCTGGATGCTGGGGCTCAAATGAGGATGTCACGACTGGCTTGTCCTCTCTCTCTCGGCCTATGGCTCAGCTCCGCTTTCCTCAGCATTGGCTTGACTCGCAGGCAGGCTCTCTAAGGAGTACCAAAATGATCCCTGGCACCCCTACTCTAACAGGTTTATAGCTTAGCTCCCCCAGTGGAAAGAGGGCACTCTCTCACAATTCTTCAAAGCAGCAGGATAATACCTCATGGGCCAGGCCTGGACCACAGGCCCATCTTCGAGATCAGTCATTGTGAGGAAGAATCTAGAATTTTGGTTTCATGCCTATTGATAGACCTAAGAGGTGAGGACAGCCTCACTCAAACCACGTGGACTGGAGTTGGGGAACAATGATTATTTAAAGAAAAACCAGGATGCTGTTGAAGAGAAAAAGTAAGAAGAGATGCTGGGAGGGAAAAAAGCAGCTGTCTGATATAATTTAGGGCAACTGAGCCTGCAAGCTGATAAGAAAAATAATACCCATTGAGATTTAAAGGCTTTTGTAGACTTTAGAAACGAAGTATTCTTACTTCATGAGTCATTTTGATGAGGGAATCTCTGAGGAGCTTGGGAGGCGAGATCCATTTCTCACCCTCTTCTTCCCCTGCCCTGTCTCTTGCTATCAAGTTTCAAAAAGACACTCAGTTTTTCACCTTCTCTAGCATCTTGGGGTGGTCAAGTGATGTAGTCTACTTAAAGTCACTTGGAAAAGATATTTCACTCCCTGAGAAGGCAAAAGAGGAAGCCTCTATCTTGTCCTCTCCCCAGTTGCCTGCCTTTGAACACAACTGTGAGAGTGCAACACTTGAGCTGCTGCAGCCATTTTAGCACCATGAGGGGAAGGCCAAGAGAATAGCAACTGGGACCTTCTGAACAAGCACCAGTATCACTACCTACCTTGACATTTTGTTATCTGAGAAAAGAGAATCCCTTCTACTTAAGCCAAGTCAGCAAGATATCCTGTTACTCAAAGCCAATGGCAATCTTACCTCATACAGGAGACTAGGAAACAATGTCATCTTTAGTATAGGAAGTGGTGTGGCCTTATAAGAGAATTGAATTTTGAAGCAAATATACAAGTTAATAAATAATCAGTAAAAGTACTTATTTTCACTTTGGATATAGTAGTCCTAGAAAATTTACAATTACAGAATCATAATACCAATCCTTATTTCTCTCTAACTCCATCCTCTTATTTTTCTTTAAGGTCCACATCACTTTGTACAGTAGTTGCTTTCACGCTCACCCCCCCGCCACCCTGAGAAGGCTGTAGGAATTTCTGCTGATTGACCTTCTTTTGAGCCTACCACCTAGAAGTGCCTCACCCATAGAAGCTAATTCGCTAGCTGTGCATTGATTAAAATGCTCCTCAGGGCCCTCTTATTATAATACTCTCATCCTGCAGCAAACAAAACCCACCCAGGGAGTTAAGTGATTTGCCCAAATTTTTACTCCAGTCTGGAATCAAGGACTTTTTTTTTTTTGTAAGAATCAAAGAGGATAAAGAGTTCTGTTACAACAGGCAGAGTGGGGAAATTAGGACCAAGGCCAGTGGTATTTTCAGTACCGGTTCTTCAGGGAGCATTCAGTGCTCCTTGATGTCAACTGCATGCCCGCACCATTCGCTGAGCACTAAGGACTGCCAGCCCCTGATGCAGGAGATGATCAATCTGCATCCCTCGCGCACTTTCAGGCCCCGTACACTTCCATCTGTTTTACAGCAAAAGGACCGATCCTAAAACAAACACAGAAACAAAAAATAGGCTGCAGGCATTTTTTATGTTAACGTTCATTATTATGTTAATTTGTATTTCTTTTCTTCACAGGCATCAAAGATGTGATAGTTTGGGGTAACATTAGTGGATGTGGCTACATCGATCTGAGAAAGGCCAAGGTTCACAACTACGACAGCGCTGTCTGGGGACCTCCTCACTTTGCACGCCCTGTTTTAAGTTTGATTTTTGATAGGTACTGTGTATTTCTAAGTGAAGCGTACTAACGATATTGAGTATACATCTAATAGTCATGATCTTTTAAAGGACCTGGGAAGTCTATGAGCAAAAATAACCTGACATTGTTCACACTCGCATTTGTTCGAGTTCTCTGTGGAAGAAACAGACATGTCCACAGGATTTCAACTAGTCAGCCCCCACCTCAAATTTATTTGCTTTTGAGATGAATGTTTATATTTCAGATTATCCTAAAGTGGCTCACATATTCCATTAAAGATACCTCTAAAGCAAGCGCACGTAAAGTGACTCTTACTAACTTGAAGCCTGAGATATGTATCCCGGTTGAAATGAGTTGAACATTTTCACGAACGGGCAGTGGACTTGGGGGGTGCTCTGTCCCAGGTGAGGCAGAATGGAGGAGTGTGAGGGGCACAGCCTCCTGAGCCGAGATTCTCACCGAGCCAATACCACTCGACACGATACTTCCCCTCTCTATTGCCCCATGTTTTCACCTACAAAGTAGAACTGGTAACTTAGTAGGGGCCTTCTAGGGCCCCTGGGAAGGCTAAATGCATTAATGTTACAGGTCGAGCCCTGAGAACTTTGCCCATCCCACCACCATCAACACCACCCCTGTGCGCAGGCAGAGGAGAGAAAGGGGCAGGGGCGCCTTTGAAGCACTTTCCTAACTTGGCGGCACCTCTCTTTCCTCCCTCAGACCTCAGGAACTCGGCCCATCCCTAGAAAGCACGGGTCTCCAGGTGTACCCTCTCGGAGCGTGGCTCCCCTGCTCTGGCCGCAGGGTCCGCACGGGCCCCGCGGAGCTGCGTCAGGGTGGCTGGGCAGGGCGGCGGTTCAGGGCTCACTCTAGTCCAGCTGGACGCGTCCCTGGATCTACACTTCAGATTACAAAACATCATTATTTCCCAAGGTCTCAACGTGAATAACTCATGTTTCATGATGTTATTTTATTGATGAAGTGTACCACTGGTTCCAAGACAGTACCTACATAGCACACATTCTCTCTAACAGAGCCATTTCGTCCCAGCAGCCTTTGACCACTTTGCTGGGGTCCATACGTATAGCATCATGTTTTCAGTTTGAAACGTGAGGATTTCTTTCTGCTCTGTTGTATCACTTCTCAGTTGACTTTTTATGGGATTGAAGAAGCTTGAGAAAAGACCCAGGAAGTCATACCTCTATTCTGTGGAGATGATTTCTCGTGCTCAGATTCCCTGACCCAGGAACACAGTCTTCGTCATTTCCATTTCTACCTCCACTGAAAAATGTTTTCCTTCTCTCCTTGTAGTGAGTGGGTGAACAGAGAGTTTGTGGCAACTCTTAACGAGTGGATCGCCACAGGAAAACAGTTTCGAGGCATCCTAGCCGCACACAGTATAGCCACTACGTTGAAATACTGGTACCACGGCTCACCACCTGGGGAGATGGTGTCGCTAGGAGTATTGAGTGGAGGTAAACCTGGTCTTTCACACCGTGCAATAGTGAAAAACCTGCATGTGTGCCTTGTACTCCTACTTCTGTGTCCCCACCTATTATCTCTTAACACGACCGTAAGTTGTCTACATTTTCCCAATTTCGTAATTGTGTTCCTTGTATTTCTTGATTGTTAGTGGAACCACCGTCCTCCCCAAATCAAGGAAATCTCCCCAATTCCCCCAAGCCAGGTTAATCTCTGCCTGTCCTCCGCACTCCTAGGGCAGTACATTCCTCGTCCCTCCATCAGAAAGCTCCGGCCTTCACTGAGGGTGTGGTTAGTAGCGGGTGTTCCCTACAGCAGAGCGCACACAGGGCTTTGCCTGGCTCTTCTCGAGGCTCCTTCACAGGTAGATGCACAAGGAATCTCGTGTGAATTCAAATCAGTATGTTTCCCTTTTAGTGAAACCGACATTTTAAACCTTATCTTCATTTGTAGAAAATGTAACTGATCTCTTTAGGAATTCATCAATAATCAACACAATATTGGGGAAGAGGAGCCAGTGCTCATTGTCTGCTGTAGGTAAACTCTCATGTGTTGTCCACCGGTAAAGCTGGCTCTTTGCAGAGGAAACAGATAGAAAGTGAACAAATAGAGGACCTGGGATCCCCTCTGAGGACAAGTTTTTTGGATCCTAATTTCTGACAACCTGCACTGTGTGCATGTGCGCGTGTGCCCTGGTGGCAATGTTTTGATGACTAGCATGACAAGCAAAATTTTCTTTTTTGATTGAGGTACAAAATGGGGGCAACTTTATCTGAACATTGCTCAGTCGGTACCAAGTATTGCCAATCTTTTTATCTGGAGCACACCCAAACTGGGAACTGGGGGCTGGGTCGAAGTCACCCACCTTCCTGCTCCCTGTCTTCCCTTCCCAACCCTCATACTTTAGCTCTGCCATAGTCCCCTAAAGAGCAGAAGGACAGATTGGACAAAGGTCTGGGGCTCGTGGGCTACATAGGGGCACATGGAAAAGCCTTGAATAGTAGACAGAAGAAGTCAAACAAGATGGAGGAGACAGACCGCAGCAGCCCTCCAGGCAGAAGTGGAGAGTCTGAACCCGGGACAAAGGGGGTGAAGAAGAGGGAACGGTGGCGCTCCCTTCCAAGAGCAACACAGAAGGGGGACTGTCAGCTTGGACAGATGCCCAATCAATGTTTCTAGAATGTTTCCATTCTTCCTGGGGAGGAATCGCCAGAAGTTTACTTCTGCTGTTATAACTACAAATCATGTACTAAGTCTGTTCCACAATTCTCAGTAGGCATTTATGACTCTTTTTCTGAGTGTTTTTTGTTTTCCTTTGCTTTGTGTTGTGCACCGCAGGCCAGTTTGGTATTGCTGAAGGGGTCGTCTTCTCCATGCCTGCGAAGTGTGAGAATGGAACATGGGTGGTTCTCACAGATCTGGAAGACATTGAACTAGATAAACAAATACTGACCAGAATAACAAGAGACCTGATTCAGGTAATATCAGAACAGGTACAAGGCAACTGACTTGGCTGATCACCTTAAACCCATTCCTTTATGCCAAGGCATACATTTGTTTTGGGGGGGTTCAGTTCGACTCTTATTCCTAAAAACAATAAGGAACCAACACAAATTTGAAAAAAATCAGCAGACATACTCTGCACATGTGGTTACATAATTTCTACCATGTTAAAAAACGTGTTGGTTATTTAAAAATCAACAATCAAAGTGTTTTTCTATTAAAGAATGATTAAGTTTATAATTATGGTCCTTTACTTCTCTGATTATAAAATTTTTCAACAGGAGATACTTGTTGCATTTGGAGATGTAAGATATTTTCAGCCGTATCAATCAGGTAATTTTTTTAGATGTGATGTTTTATTGGGCTGCTCTTAAAAGGGTATTAAAATATTTGTTGAAACTGAGTCACTTTAATATTAATAAATATAATCCATATCTCATCGTCTTTAAACCAGATTACTGATGAAACTGCCAAGTTTATTGTGTCCTTTGAAATAAAACATCTCATAAGAATGCTAAAGAAATAATATCTTGAAAACATTACGACCTTATAAATTTGGGGCATACAATACATACTAGTTTCCTAGGGCTGCTATAGCAAATTACAACTGGCTGGATGGCTTAAAACAACAGACATGTATTTCCGCTCATGCCCCTGGAGACTCAAAGACCTAAATCAAGGTGTGGGCAGGGGGATGCTTCCTCTGAAGGCTCATGGGGAGATCCCTCCCTTGCCTCTTCTCGCATCCAGTGGCTGTGCTTGGCATCCCTGGTTTGCGGCTGCATCACTCAAATCTCAGCCTCTGTTTTCACATGTCTGTCTTCCCCTGTGTGTGTCTGTGTTTCCAAATTCAAGGACGCCAGTCATAGCATTTAGGGCCCACCCTAATCCAGCATGACCTTATCTCAACTTGATTACATCTGCTTAAACCCTGTTTCCAAAGAAGATCACATTCACAAGTACCAGGGATTAGGACTTTAAAATGTCTTTTGGGGAACACAGTTGAACCCCACGACACTACATGTATTGTGGAGAGCTTTTAAAAAATAATTTCTATGGGCTTATTTTTCTTACTTGGATTTTCTCTAATTATAAACTCACAAGGAAATGCTATTAGCTTTCTTTCTTTGCCTTAAGGAAAATATTATCTTACATATGGAAATAGGAACATAAAAATAAATTAATTTCTGCAAAGAGCTTTAATTAAATGCATTTGAAAGCCCATCATTCTTTCCTTCTACTAGTATTTATGATATGCCAACTACAAGCCAGTTTCAGCAGCTACAAACTTGGGGTGAATAAGGTAAACCCCTTCTTGCCCTTTTGGAACCCACAGTCCATCAAGCATCACAAATTATACAGTGACTGCAGATGTAGTGAGTCTCAGGCATGAGAAGTACGGGGTGCTGTGTGGTGAGAGCTTATGCCTGAGAGTATAAGGAAAGAACTTGAGGCAGGAAAGCATCTATCAACTTATTCGAAAAACTAAAGTACAGTTTGTGTGACCAAAGCATGAAGACATGAAGCTGAGAGACAGCGGCTTGAAAAGCAGATTCGAGAGTGACAGCGGCTCCTGCATGGAGAGTGACCTGGTCAGGTTTGCCATCAGTTTGGAAAACAGGTTGCAACAAGGCTAGACTATTTGCAGAAAGGCTAATAGGATGGGGACATGGAGTGACACCGGGAAGAGATGGTGGCAGCAGAGGCTAGAGGTGGTAGAGTTTGGAGAGATGTTTGGGAGGTGGAATCATCCAGACTTGATGACAGATTGACTCTGGGGATGAACAGAGGACTCAGGCTTCTTCTGGTTGAGCAAGGGACGGATTTGCTGATGTGGGGGTGGGGGAGGGGAATAGCAATAGAACGTTACTTGAGAAAGAGGGAATATATGTGTGTATTGGGTGGCAGAGGAGGGCACAGTGTCAGAGTAGAAGAAGAATGAGTTTAATTTAACCATTATGATTCTGAGTTATCATTGGGATATCTAAAATGGAAATACATGGTAGAGAACTGCGTACTTCCTGGAGCTCAGAAAGATCTGGACTGCTCTTGTCAAACTGAGAGTTGTTACTGCATGAATAGAAATGAAGGCATGAGCGTGGTGGGTATTGTCCAGAGAGAGTGTGTGAGGGGCAGGCCTGGAGGGACTTAGTCTTGATCAAGTAGAAAGATGGACTGGGAGAAAGGCATGGTCACAAAGAAAGGACATCCTCTGGAATCTGATGTCTTGGGAGACCTAAGGGCAGAGAGTGTTTCAGCAACGAGGGTCAGTCTGTACTGCCAGGCCTGAAAAATACCCCGTGGATTCATGGCATAGAGGTCATGTGCAACTTTGATGAGAGCAACTGTGTGGAATGGAGAGGGCGGAGATGAGACCACAGTGGGAGGGGAGGACCCTAGCCTCAGGGGCCACAGTCTGGCTGTGGAGCTGATGTGCTCGGTGCTGTGGGCCAGAAAACTGTGCTGGGTGCTGAGAACATGGGAAGGCCAGTGACATGGACTTTCTGGAGGAGGTGACATCTGAACCCAGTCACAAGAGAAAAGAAAACATTGGCTAAGCTAAATGGGAGGGGATTCTATTCAGAGGGAGCAACACATACAAAGGCACAGAAATAAGAACTTTTTACAAACTGCCCACTTATTTTATCTGGAAAGTAAATTGAGTTTAGAAGTGTCAGGAGCCAGAGAGGTCACTTCTCTTGGTGAAAGCAATGCAACACTTTAGGCAGTGAAGGGTCAAGGGCAGATTCTAAGTTCAGAATGATCACTCTGTTCATAATGGCAGGAATGAACTGGGGTTGGGGGGGGAGAAATCAAAAGCAGTTGAGGGCAGTTCTTTCGCAGGGAGAGAAATAATAAGGGCCTTAACCAAGAAGCAGCCACGGGACTGCAAAGGAGGGGCTAGATTTGAAGGCAATAATATTGTAAGAATCTGAAGAGGATGTGCGAGCCCCAGGAAGTCAAGAATGCCCTGATGTTTGGACACATGGTAGTGTCATTCCCTGAGACAACTTCCCAAGCAGTCAGCTACAGATGGGTGGGGTGTGTGGAGCCGTTGATCTCCTTGGCCCCAGAGTCTGAGTCTGGGGCAGCTGGAGTCCCCAGGTTGGTTGTCTCTATTGTCCTTGTTATTAGCCATGCATACCAAGTCATGAAAAAGGTGAGAAAGCTGTGATTAAGGTAAGGAATATAGGAGGAGCAGATATTCAAGAGGCACCTAAGAGCAAATGTCTTGGGTGACAAATGTCTGGTGGATGATGGGCACATGTCCCTGGTTAATGTTCAACAACCATTGAAGAAGGAGAGGATGAAGCCAGAGGGGAGTGAGGAGAAAGATCCTTAGCCCAGCATTAGTAAACAAGCTCCGGAACAGGGGATCAGCTTCAAACAGGAAGTGTCTCCCTGTGAAGGCCCAAGCAAAGGGAAGAGGTAGATGCAGGGAAGCATGCTGGATTGGGGGAAGGGGTATTCCTCCGATCCGACACCCCACCCCCAATCCAACATGGCAACCAAGACCAGATCCCCAAGACTAGGGGAAAGGCTAGCATTAGAAGGGAAGAGGTGAAGGTTTGAAATAACTGTTCAAAGGAAAGGAAAAGAGGACAATGGAAAAACACAGAATTTTTTTTATCTGAGGGCTCAGTAGAAGTTAGAAACCATGAATTTGTAGCAGCTCCAGTGTAGGGCTGTGTGATTTCCTATTAAGATGCTCATCTACCTGGATGCAGGTATGGAAACCCAGATGCAGGATTTGTAGTAAGATCTGAATTATCAGAGGGTACTGCCGCCCCTGCAATCAGAATAATGCAATTAAAATAAAAAGAGCACTACACTGTATTCCAACAAAATTCTGAATGTTTACTTGATGCCTTTATTTGGAATATCAAATCATTATTTTTCTCATATATTTATCTCAACTTTCTCTTGTTTTTTTGGCAACCTAAATGGGTGCTAAACTAATTTGGTCATTGGCATTGGACATAGAAATGGAAAATAAGCAGTTTTGACATTTTACGTACCATTTTGGAAGGAAGGAGGTGAGTCAAAGAAGTTCAGGATAATTGCAAGAAAGCCATGAAATGATGAACTATAGGGGTCTAGATTGGATAAGAAGGAAGTAATAAATAGAAATAAAATTAAAAGCCCCAGGTGGGAATGGTATTGAAAGTATTTAACAACTTGTATCATATAAATTTCAACCGATTAAAACAGTGGCTCCCTTTCAGGATGGATTAACTGGTTAGAACAAAAACTGGCAAGAGACAGGACAACTGCTGCCCTGGGTCCAGACCAGAGAGCGTTTAGGGAGGTCAAAGGTCAAAGTACTGAAGTGGGAGGAAGGGCAGAGAGACTGCAGGGACGAGAGATTATGGCAGAGGGTGGGCTTGGGAGACTCAGTCTCAGTCTGGCTGGTGGGCGGGTCACCAGGAGTGGGCGGGTCACCAGGAGTGGGCTGAACCAAACAAAGCCCAGAGGCAGTGCAGAGACTGAGGGTGTGGGCATGAAAGTCTGATGAGCAGTTGACTTAAAGGCAAAAGCTTTTATTCTCAGAATTTAGAAGCCCTCTGTGTGGCTTCCTTCATTAGGTTGACTTCTAAAGCTGTAAATTCCTTTCATGATAATGGGCTATAAAGCAGCCATTCTAAATCTGACTCCATCGACTGGTAGTTAGTCCTAAATTTCCCATAATACTTGCATTACAGAGGGTTTTGTGAAAGAAAATGACCTGATTTTATGCTGTTTTTATTAACAAAGGTTAAGGTGTATATGGAGTTGACTGATCTCAACTCAGTCATCACTGGACTTTGCCCAAAGCACTGTTCCAGGGATTCCAAGATTAGAGCTTTGAAAATAATCAGAACTTTGCAGAGTTTGGGCAGCTCTGCTTATTGCCATGTCAATGAGACGATTCATATAGGAGAATTGTTTAATCTTTTCAATTAAGTTAATACTTAATTTTCTGACTTTCAGAAACTAAAAAGACCACCTCCGCTGACAAGAAAGACAACCAGGAAAATCAGCAAGTCTCAGATGGTAGGTATATCAATTGGAGTCATATTTAAAATCTATTAAATCTTTGGAGGAAATTACCAGACATTCATTGAGCACCTCCTATGTGCTAGTCACTATGAGAGACAGTGAGGGACACAGTAAGGGGATGGAGGCCACACAAACACATCTCGGGGACAGGAGCCATGAGAACATATAAAGGTAGATGCTAAGATATGCAATGAATTAAAAAGCTCAATGAAACTGAGGTCAAGACAGGTCAAAATGAAAGAACATTTATAATAAGTAATCTAGGAACTTATAAGGAAAGGAAAGATTCTTCTATTGTATGAAGGAGGAAATTTAATAATATCTTGAAATCTAG